AAAATGGATTAAAGACCTAAATGTGAGACATGAAACTATAAAGACTTAGAAGAAAACAGACAAGAATCTCATGTACATCAATATGAGGAATTTTTTTGTGGATATGTCTCCATGTGCAATGGAAACAACAGCAAAAATAAGTGGGGATACATTAAACTAAAGTTTCTGCAAAGCAAAGGAAACCCTCAACAAACTAAAAAGGCAACCTACAGTATAAGAGAATATATTTGCAAATGCTGTATCTGATAAGGGGCTAACATCCAAAGTATGTAAAAAACTCATACAACTCCACACCAAAAAAATAACCCAATTTAAAAAAATGGGCAAAAGACCTAAATAGACATTTTCCTTAAGACATACAGATTGCTAATAGACACATGAAATGATGCTCAGCATCATTAATCATCAGAAAAATGCAAATCAAAACTACAATGAGGTATCACTTCACACCAGTCAGAATGGTTATTATCCAAAAGATAAGAAATAACAAGTGTTGGTGAGGATGTAAAAAAAAGGGCACCCTCCTACACTGTTCGTGGGAATGTAAATTGGACCATACACTGTGAAAAGCAATATGGAGGTTCCTCAAAAAACTAAAATTAGAAATACATATGACTCAGCAATTCCACTTCTGGGAATTTACTTGAAGACAACAAAATCAAATTCGACAAGATATATGCCCATTTATGTTCATGGCAGGATTATTTACAATAGCCAAGATAAGGAAGCAACTCAAATACCCACGGATAGATAAAAGGTAAAGAAGATGAGGTACATATACACAATGGAATATTAGCCATAAAAGTGGAAATCTTGCCATTTGTGACAGGATGGATGTACCTAGGGGTATTATGCTAAATAAATAATCCAGGCAAAGAAAGACAAATACCATATTATTTCTCTTATATGTTGAAATCTAAAAAGCAGAACAAACAAAAAAAGAAATAGATTCACAAATACAGACAGCAGACTGTTATCACCATAGAAGAGGGATGGAGAGATGGGTGAAGTAGGTGAAGGGGATAAAGAGGTACAAACTGCAAACTGTCAAATAAATTAGTCATAGGAATGGAAGTACAACATATAGGATATAACCAATAAAATTGTAATATTTTGGTATGGTAATGAGGGAACTACACTTACTGTGGCAAGCACCTAGTAATGTATGTAATTATCGAGTCACTATGTTGTACATCTGAAACCAATGTAATATTGTATATCAGCATCATTCCAATAAAAGAATATATATATAAAAGAAAAAGTTACTTTCCTCAGTATTTTATCATCCAGGAGAGAGATACAAGTAAACATTCTATGAAAATACATGACAGTAAATCCAACAGAGAAAGAGACCATATACTATGGGAAAGTAGGGTGGGAAAACAAATGCACGTTGGGATGTGAATGTCAAAAAGACGGCTTCCTAGAGGAAATTATTGACTCCAAGCCTTTAAGGAAGAAAAGTAGCTAACCAGGTAAAGCTATTTCACATAGAGGGAACATTGGAAGGCATGAAACATGACACACGACAGGACATGAATGTTGGGGAATAATAAATCCCTTAGTATATAACTGGATTATGGTTTTGGATGGCAGGAGCTTAGAGGAAGACAAAGCCAGACAAGTGAGCAGGCATCGGTTCATAAGGGCAATGTATGTCAGGTAATGAAATGTATTTGGAAGAAGAATCAAGCACAGGTCTTTATGAAAACAAGTCTGTAATGGATCCAGATGAGTGTAACACCTGGGTGTCAATGAGGAAACTTCAGTAATCATTTGTAAAGAGAAATCACATTTTCTCACTCCATGAGGGAAATGAAGTCACTTAGTTAGGAATAAAAAACTGAGAAAATGGATTCCAAGATATTCTCTACAATTCAAAACAGTACCCTTTCTTCCAAAGCTCTTTGTTTCTCAGAAGTTGTCCTGTTTGTGAGTCATGTCAGAGAAAGCACATAAAAGAAAACAACTTTAGAATTCCTATGCAGGAAAAGACTAGACTATTCTATTATTGAATCTAAGACAAAGAGAAATATATTAGTGTGGCTGATGCTGTGAAGCACTTGTTATCACATCCTGCTGCTTTCCTTTCTCCATGTGTGTTGATCTTAAAAGTGCCCCCTTAATAAAATTTCTGCTTTATGAAAAAAAAAATGTCTATCTTGTGTTAAACTACAAATCTACATTTGAGGCACATGACGTGTTCTCTGTTCCAGGTGCAAAGAGGGATGAAAAGTCTGATTCCTGGGAAAGGGATGAAGGAATACTCAGAGTTGGTTTCTTCCCTCCAGTTCTGTTCTTAGACTGAAAAAAGGTATCTCTCTTTGCTGCTTCCCATGGGAGACCTCTTCCACTTCCTGTCTCTCCACCAGCCAGATTCCTAGGTTGAGAGTGAGACAGTGAATTCCTCCAAGATGTGGGATTGTGGTTGGTGGCCCACACATGGATCCCTCCCCATTCCTTCTTTCAGCCCGCCTCCTGCTCGGTTAAGCTGGGTTAAGGCAGTATTTGGCAGGGAATGGACTCACTGGGTTGAGAGAAGACAGGGGGCCACACAAGGTCTGCAGAGCCTGGTTCCAGGGCTGGCCAGGAAAAGAGCAGCTTTGTAGATTAGGTCTTAGAGAAGCAGAGGGTCAGCTTTGGGGTTTGTGTGCCTGGGCACAGGATTGCTTGAAGGCTGGGAGAATGGAGCTAGGAGCAATTGATGGAGAAAGGGAGAAGGGGTGCAGATGGGAGAGGAAGAGCATCAGAAAGGTGGGAGTCATTTCTCTTAAGGGAATGGAAACTTTCTTTTCCTTCCTGCTCTTAGAGTTACCAAAGAATACAAAAGGACTGTTACAGATCTTATCATATATGGGTGTGGGCTGGAAAGAAAGAAAAAACTGCTGAGAGAAGGATTTAGAAAGGGGGAGATCCTTTGGCTAAGCTCAAGTATGAGTCAGAAAACAGCTTGGTAATGGAAGCCAGGACTTTGACTTCCCCTTGGGCTCCTGGAAGATGATCCCAGAATGGCTGAGCTGTGGGAATGGTCAATGAGGTTACTGTTAACACAGGAGTGGAACCTTCCCCAGCCCCTGGTCTTCCCAAACAAGCTCCATCTATTCAACCCCAGAAACTGTTTCCCCAACCACCCCAAGGCCTGAAAACTCCTTTGATTTCATAAATAAATCTTTCTTTCCCAAAGTAATTCTAGTCCTAATGTTCCCCCCATTCCTCCTGGGCTGCCCATTTAATGGGACTTCAGTAGGGACTTGGTACTCCTGTTTCACTTGCCCCCTGCTCTCCAGGCTTCAGCTGTAGGAGGAATGGGTGAGTAGGTGAAGCTTGGTGGGCCACGATGGGGTTCCAAATGTCTTTAAATGCCCTCAGTCCAGAACTTGGTCCTGATTTGCAGTTTCACTCCTTTGTCTGGTAACATTCATTTGTTAAACTGGTACTTAAAGAGTCTACTATGTGCCAGGCACTGGGGATGGAGTGAACAGCACCAAGTCTTGTCTTCATGGAGCTTGCATGCAGGATCAGATTCAGGTGCCTTGGTTCCTAGTTTTCTGTTATCCTCTAGGGATGCTAGAATTTACAACCTCACATTCATTATTAATCTCAATAACTTCCCCTCTATGAAGCCATTGGGATTCAAGGTGAGGCTTGGCTTTCTTTTACATTGTTACAGCTTTAATGAGGTCTAACTGACATGCAATAAACTGCAGGTCAAAACTTTGATCAAAGTGTTCAACTTGTTAAGTTCTGACATATGTATACAGCCATAAATCAACATAAAATCAAGATAATGAACATATCCACTCCCAACATATCCAACCCCACCATCTCTTTTCTTAATCCTCTCCATTCTCCTTCCCTTGAAGTCTATGAAACTTCTAGAAGATACAAACTAGTCCTTAGTAACTTTTGATGTATAGAGGACTGAACTGAATAAAACAAGGAGCTTAGGGCCTAATGAAGACTCAACTGTTGGAGGGAGAGAGAAGTTGGGATTTAGAACCAAATACTTGATCTTGAGTTTAGCTTGAGTTCCCATCATTGCTGGCAGCAAAGTGGCAAGGAAGGAACCTGATTGTCAGGAGAGAGTGGACATCTTCTCTAGGGACATAATCCATAAAGCAGTTGGGCATGGTCCAGTTCAGCAGATACCTGGGGATATCAGTAGGCTGCTACCTTCGGTCTTACGTCTTGCATGGAGTCTCATGGAAAGGATTATACTGAAGGTTTAAGCTAAAAGAGAGGATTATCCATATTATTAAAACTTTTTTGGTATGCTGATTATAGGTTTAACTGTCTTGACACTACTGCTAGACTGAGAGCTCCTGCAAGGCTTATCTGTCTTCAGCACCTAACAATCTCTGCATTCAATTATTTATTGAACAAATGATATCATCACTTAGGTCCCATCCAACTACCTATAATAAAATAATACCTAGTGTGAGTAAACTGCCGTCAAGTTGGTACTTTCACGGAAATTGCAATTAGCTTGCAATTAGTGACTATTTGCTTGGTTGAGAATGGGCCTCTGGAAGGGCCAAGGATTTGGAAGGAGAGTGGGTAGTTCGGAGAGGGGCAGAAATATGACTCTTTTGAGTAGGAAAACCTCCCCGCTGTTCACCGCCACCAACACCAAAGATGTGAAGTCTCCGGTAATGATCTGAGTATTTGGAGTAGGGGGTGGGGGACCACAGGTAGAGTTAGGGGTTAGGTACCCTTTGGATTCTAGCAGCCCAGGCTTTCCTCCGAGTAGGAGTTTCGTTCCAAGTAGGAACCTCTTTATGCGGTTCGATCCCTGGTCCACACTGTCTTCTTTGCAGCATGCCTTCACCTCAAGACCGTGCACCGACGCCAAGAATTTAGGGCGGTAGTGAGAATGATAGGATCCAACAACGTTCTCTCTCCCAATCCACTCACTCAGAGGAGCTAATTTCTCCAGCGTCCGGCTGGAGTCCCTCCCTCTCCTGCCTCAGACCCCGCCCCCTCCCCCAACTCCGCGGTCCAGGCGGGCTAACCCAGGAGGGGACGGCGCCAGTCGGATCGCTGGGTGGGGCGGAGCTCCTGCCCGGGAGGAGTTGTGGCTTCACCGCCTGGACGCCCGACCGACCTCCGGCTTAGCCGACTGTGCTTGCGACGCCGGGCCCCTCTTCCTTCACCTCCCCAGCCCACTCTCTGAGCCTCCGGAGGCTCCTTGCCGCTCCGTGCAACTCTGCTGGTAAGTCCCACACCAAACTTTCCTGCTGCGGAGTTTCAGGCCGATCCTCGAGCTACATTGTAGTTGATAGTGCTTGGAGGTGCGTGGTGGTGAAGGATTGAGACTAGCCGTCTTGAACTATTCACTATTCCACAGCTTTTCTAAAGTGAGTCACATTTCACCCATTTCCCGAGTTGGTAGGGCTCTAGACTTTTGTCGGTTCAATTTGTAGAGAGGGAGATGAGGGTATTCACTCTAACTTCGCTCCCCCCGCTTCCCCCCGCCACCATTTCTGAGATTAAGCAGTTCTCCATGCTTTCCCTCCGTATTTCAATTATCTTTGGCTCTGTAAAAGCCCATCCCCTCCCATCTCTGGCGTGGCAAAGCCCCTCCCCCAGGCATTCGGGTCCACCTCCTCTCCATTACCCTCGGGGACCCCAGATATTTCGGGCCGCAAGTTCCCTCCGGGTCTCCGGGGGTCTCCGGGTCTCCGAGTCCTGTGTACTAGCTAAAGACGTGCGGGGGCTGGGTCCGGCTGTGAAGGGAGGGGCTGAGGCGGCGGCTGGTCCGAAGCCAGGCGGGCGGGGTTGGGAAGGGGAGGTGTAGGGGGCCGGGCGGGGCGGAGCGGGCGGCATTTGCGGCCGGCGCCGGGGTGGAGAGTTGTGCGCCTGTCCCTGGGCCTGGGCTCGGGCTCGGGCTCGGGCTCGGGCGCCTGCGATGTCTCAAGATGGCGGAGCTGGGCGAATTAAAGGTACCGGCCCCCTCCCCCATCCCCATCTGGACTGAGCTCGGCGGTACGCCGAGTCATGGAAGCTACCGAGACTGGGTGCCGAGGGCTCGTGTGGGGGCTGGAGACGTGGCGGGGACTGGCTGCTGGCGATGGGGGAGTAGCGGCTGTGAGCAAGGAAGGGGCTTTGGCGGGGCTCCGGGGGCGGGGCCGCGGGGCAGATGTAGAGGTGGGGCCGAGGGGAATTGCAGCTGTTGGGGGCCGAGGCGCCGGAGGCGGAGACGCGGGGTAGAAGTCGGATTTGGTAGTAGAGGCAGATGTTGGGGTAGGGCCGGCGGAAAAGCTGTTCTAGAAGCACAGGGAGCGAGTTGATCACGGCCAAGAGATGCGACAGTAGGGGGCAGATGTAGGGATGGGGCTGGGGGAAGATGTACCGGAGGCTCCCAGGGATATGCAGCTGAGAGGATGGAGGCTCTGGACTGCTGTAGCAGTCCGAGCCTTGGGAAGCATCAGTAGGCGGCTGAGATCGAGGGGGCGGGGCTGTGCGGGCGTTAGATCGAGGGGTGGGGCAGAAGCATTCTGGAGACTGAGAGAGGAAGGTCCTGCCTTAGTGAGTCGGAGTCTTTGGGCGGGGACAGGAGTGAGAAACTAGGGATAGAAAGGGGGAAGTTTTTGACAAAGCTAATGGAGAAATAAAGACAGGACGGAGGAAATAAGGACGGGTAGAAAGGTAGAGAGGCAAAGTTTTAATCACATTCCTCAAAAGGGGCCCAAAGCTATAAGCCTCCTTTGAGGGGAAAAATTGCAGAGGGCTAGCAAGGCTTGCCGCGGACAGGGTCTTCTAAGCATTCCCAGAGGGGTGTCCTTTACGGGAAGAGCTTTTTGTGTCCTCCTGTTACCACACAGTCTTGAGAATGACCATATCCGAGGACATCTCACAGAACCTTAAGAAACCATTGGGTTCATCCTTCTGCCTCCTGGCTTTGTTCTGGCCCTTGAAATGGAGCCATAGTCCTGAGCATAGGAGAGCTTGCAGTTCTGCACCCTGGCTCAGGGACTGCGTGCCTTTTCATTCTCCCTCTGTTTAGATCTTCGTCCACTCCTCTTCTACCCCTGTGGAGGGGGAGGATCACTTTTTTTCTGTATGGAGGAGAGAAGCAGGTTATTAGTTCCTGGGAGATGGAATAAATAGGTAAACAAGAATATTTGGACTCGTGATATTAACCCTGCCTCACCCCAAGTTTTGGTCTTGTTTCTTTCCCAGAAAAATAGGACTGAGTGGGGGTGGTTATGTAAATGACACCGAGAAAGGATTTGGGGGAGTTATGAGCATTGAACCCTGACCTAAAAACCTGGCTGCAAAAGTTTCAGAGGCTTGGGCAAAATGGCTGAGGTGGATTGAGGTGTTGGGAGGGGTGGGCCATGGGGCACAGTCCTCCAGCTACCTGGCCCCATTCTTCCCTGTGGGGCTGTCACCTGAATCCTCTTATCCCGCTCTTTCCTCCATTCTCCTGTCTTCTTTCCAGGAGGCTGTGAATGGGTCTGAGAGTCAGAAAGAGCAGGAGAGGAGATAAGCCACTTAAAGGGAAATCAGGCTTGAGACAGGGATGGAGGTAGGAGTCTGTGGTGGATTCAGAGGTGTGCATAACGATGGTTTGCTGTGTGCACCCTGCACCCTGCCACCACCTGGTCAGTCTCCAGGCATGGGGAGATAGGGTTGCTCAAGCTCTGGGTGGGTTGACCTGAGGGTTGCTGAAATGGGACTGAGATGTCCCTTTGGCCAGATTGGCTATCTGGCAGTAATCTTCTAGTTGCACAGTGTGTTTTTGATCAGTGCTGGAGGGAAAGAGGCAATTACGCGCTTGGTAGCTCAGTCCCACGTCCTTGGTAGAACAGGCCTGTGTAAGGTAGGATTCTAAAGTTTCACTGTTTTCCACAGCACATGGTGATGAGTTTCCGGGTCTCTGAGCTCCAGGTGCTTCTCGGCTTTGCTGGCCGGAACAAGAGTGGACGGAAGCACGAGCTCTTGGCCAAGGCCCTGCACCTCCTCAAGTCTAGCTGTGCCCCTAGTGTCCAGATGAAGATCAAAGAACTTTACCGCCGCCGCTTTCCCCGGAAGAACCTAGGGCCCTCTGATCTCTCTTTGCTCTCTCTGCCCCCTGGCACCCCTCCTGTAGGCTCCCCTGGTCCTCTAGCTCCTATCCCCTCGGCCCTCTTGGCCCCTGGTTCTGTGCTGGGTCCCAAGTGTGAAGTAGACATTCACCCACCTCTGCCGCAGCCTGTGCACCCTGATGTCACCATGAAACCGCTGCCCTTCTATGAAGTCTACGGGGAGCTTATCCGGCCCACGACCCTTGGTAAGGCTCTTTGTGGTCCCTCAATTTTCCTGAACTCCATGCTTCTACCCCAAGCCTTTCTTAGGCTTTAGTCCTATGGGATCAGCAGCCTGGGGTGGGGGCAACCTATCTGTGGATAGGCTTGGGAATAATTGCCCCTCTGTGTCTTCAGCATCCACTTCAAGCCAGCGGTTTGAGGAAGCCCACTTTACATTCGCCCTCACGCCACAGCAAGTGCAGCAGATTCTCACGTCCAGGTACATCACTTTCAGTCCTCTTGCCACATCTGAGGGTGGTTACCCCTTTCTGCTCTCTGACTCTCTTCTGCCCTGTTCGCCTCCCTGTTTACCCTCCTGTACCTGCTTTGTCTCTTATTCTCTTGTGTGTCTCTTTTCTGTCCCTGGATATCTAACCTTTTTTGTCACTGTCTATTCACCCCTGCCCTCTAGGGATCACACACTCACACCTCTTCCTCTCCTTCTGTGTTACAGAGAGGTTCTGCCAGGAGCCAAATGCGATTATACCATACAGGTGCAGCTAAGGTGAGCTGATCTTCCCTCCCTGCCCTGCTGGGCTCCCATGGGGGGTTGGCTTGAAATAAGGGTATGACAGATACTTCTAGGATATCCCTGCTCTGCCACATCCACTCCATTCCTGGGAATCATGTTTGATGCTGAGGGCTACAGATACCCATGACTGTTTTCTGAGGTTCCCTGCCTCACTGCCAGATTCCCCTCAGGAAACTGCCTCCTACCCTTTCTTCTCTCATCTCTTACCAGGTTCTGTCTCTGTGAGACCAGTTGCCCACAGGAGGATTATTTCCCCCCCAACCTCTTTGTCAAGGTCAATGGGAAACTGTGCCCCCTGCCGGTAAATGCTCTAACTTTCTTCTGGCAGTAACCCCTTCTCTGTATCAGTTCATATTTGTTAATTGCAAACCTATTATGAAAGAGACAGGCCTAGCACAGTGCCTGGCTCATGGTCAGTGTTTAGTTTACTGATTGAATCAGTATAATCTAGAGAGTACTAAGATAGGGCTGAACAAGTATTCTGTCAGAACCTAGAGGAGGGACATTAGTTCAACTCAAAAGGGCAGGGAGGACTTCTCAGAAGGGATGACCTAAGAGCTGAGATTTGGAGGGAGTGGGGTGTTCTCATTCTTCCTCCTCAGGAACTCAGTGAATAAGCTCTCCTTCCCTGCCCCACCAAATTGAACCCCACGAGCAACCCTAGATGGTGCCCCAGTCTTTTGAGTCATTGAATGGGCCCCCATCTCCTTAGTCAGTGAGTGAGCTGGCCTTCCCTCCAGGGAGTGGTAACCTGCGACAAGATGTCTTGACCAGTCCCTCCCTTCCCCAGGGTTACCTTCCCCCAACCAAGAATGGGGCTGAGCCCAAGAGGCCCAGCCGCCCCATCAGCATTACACCCCTGGCCCGTCTCTCAGCCACTGTTCCCAACACCATCGTGGTCAACTGGTCATCTGAGTTTGGACGGGTGAGCATGGCTGAGGCAGGGAGCCTGGAGAAGCCTGTAGGGAGTGAGGAGGATTTATCTATTGTCCCGGGTTGGGGAAACATCTTCCTCTTTATGTGTCTCTCTCTTAACCTGCTGTTTCTGGTTCTCATAGAACAAAGGAGGGGGGGTGGGGTGTGTGTGCAAAGCAGAGGCTAATTGTCTCCCCCCACCTCCAAGTAGAATTACTCCTTGTCTGTGTACCTGGTGAGGCAGTTGACTGCAGGGACCCTTCTACAAAAACTCAGAGCAAAGGGCATCCGGAACCCAGATCACTCCCGGGCACTGAGTGAGTAGTAACATGCTGCCTCTCTTTCCAGTCTGATCTGGAGCCAAGTCTTCTGGCCCTCCAGCCTTTATAATCAAACCCATACCCCTCTGATGACAATTTACCTCACCTCTCACAGGAACCCCAGCTCTTCCTCATCCCCCTCACGAATCTTCCTGGTTGAAAAGTCAGATCACTCCTAGACACTGAGTGATGATACCTTTGCATTTATTCCCTGTTATCCATCTGCGTTGCACACTTCACAGACCCTAACTCCAGGCCTGCTGGAATATGGGTTCTCTGTAGACTGAGAAGAGTCTTAGGAATCATCTAATACAACTCTTGTGATGCTTCAGTTTCCTCTAAGTCATCTCTGTCAAAGTGTCACCCAGCTGTATTTAAGCATCTTCAGGGATGGGGAAATATTTCCCCACAACCCATCCTTCATAATCCGATTTCAGACCACCCCCATGTGACATCCGTCTGTTCCCCAAAGGCTCTCTCCCCAGCTGCCTCTCAGCCAGAGCCATCTGCTTCTGGCCTTACCACCTCCCAGGCTTCCTTACAGCTTTGCTGACTCCATGGCTGTGGCCTAACTCTTGTTTCAGTCAAGGAGAAATTGACCGCTGACCCGGACAGTGAGGTGGCCACTACAAGTCTCCGGGTGTCACTCATGTGCCCGGTGGGTACAAGGGAGAAGTGGGAGGAGGGTTGTGTTACACTTGGACTTAGATGATGGGTCCTAGGGTTATCACAATGAGACTTTCTGGGTTGTGGGGACTCTGACCAGAGAATTTGTCTCTCCTCAGCTCGGGAAGATGCGCCTAACTGTTCCTTGTCGAGCCCTCACCTGTGCCCACCTGCAGAGCTTTGATGCTGCCCTTTATCTGCAGATGAATGAGAAGAAGCCAACGTGGACATGTCCTGTCTGTGACAAGAAAGCTCCCTATGAATCTCTTATCATTGATGGGTAGGGCCATTCTGCATTATTTCCCTTACTCTTAGGATACCCACTAGGACCCTAGGACTCTCTCTCTCTCCCTCTCTAGAGACTGAGAGAGAGCACTTCTCTACCCATGAACCCTAACTCTTAAGCTATCCCACTTTATATATATTTATTTATATATGCCCTTTATAATATGTATATTTCCAACCCTGAGGACTTAATACATACTAGGCATCTTGCTGAGCATTTTGCATTCCTTATCTTACTGAATCCTTGTAACCCTATGAGATGGGTATTATCATTACAGGTGAGAAAACAGGCCCAGAGAGATGGAGTATCTTGCTCAAAGTTATATTGTTAGTAAGTGGCAGAGCCAGGGTATCCAATTGGTAAAATATCTCTACTATAAAAATTACCTGACCTCTCACTGAGCACAGGAGTAAAGTTCTTTTGAGGGACTGGATATGCTGATGTAACTAATCCTAACCCCTTTTCTAGAACCTACATTAAGGTTCTTGTTCCCAGTGCTATGTTTGAAATGTTTATAGAGTTCTGTATCTCTGCTCCTTTTGTCTTGTCCCTAGTATAACATGAAATGGTGTTTAGAATGTATTTATGTTAAAAGAGCACTTAAAGTTTGCAAAGCTCTTTTACATACCTTATTTTATTTGATTCCAGTAACTCAGAGAGGTCAGTAGGGTGGATAATAATAGCCCCATTTTCAGATGAGGAAACTGAAGATCAGGAAGTTGAGTCCCAGAACTCCTTGGCCACTGTTCCAGCCCCATGAATTCCCATCTCTCCCCTTCCCCAGTTTATTCATGGAGATTCTTAATTCCTGCTCGGATTGTGATGAGATCCAGTTCATGGAAGATGGGTCCTGGTGTCCAATGAAACCCAAGAAGGAGGCATCTGAGGTTTGCCCCCCACCAGGGTATGGGCTGGATGGTGAGTGAACCCCTGTCTCCCAGCTGAGCTAAGTCTTGGATGGCCTCTTCTCTGAGACACAGTCTTCCTACCACCCATAGGCCTCCAGTACAGCCCAGTCCAAGAGGGCAATCCATCAGAAAATAAGAAGAAAGTCGAAGTTATTGATTTGACAGTCGAAAGCTCATCAGATGAAGAGGATCTGCCCCCAACCAAAAAGCACTGTCCTGTCACCTCAGCTGTCATCGCGGCCCTACCTGGAAGCAAAGGGTATGAGGAAACAGGCTGAGTCTATAGCAGAAGGGGCAGAGGAAGAAGTCAGAAATGCTCTCTGATCACTGGGCAAACCCTGGGGCAGAGAGGGCAGTTGAGAGGCTGAGCTGGGTGAGGGTGGCTGCAGCTTGCTGGTTGCCCAGCTCCTCTCTCCTCACAGGGTCCTGACACCTGGTCACCAGCCATCTTCAGTGCGTCGGAGCCCTGCTGTGGGCACATTGGGTGGGGATTTCCTGTCCAGTCTTCCACTACATGAGTACCCACCTGCCTTCCCCCTGGGGGCCGATATTCAAGGTATGACATCAATTGCAGGGTGGGGCCCTACATTGCCACATCCTCCTGAGATCCAGACCAGAAGAACCCCCTGCTTCTTGTCAAAGCTTTCTGGCTCCCTTGCAAAGGACCACAATCCAAGGAACTTTTATTTTTAGCAGTGAAGGGGTCAGACAGGAGGTTGATTTTAATTTTTCTTTTCCTACCAGGTTTAGATTTATTTTCTTTCCTTCAGACTGAAGGTCAGGTAAGTGATCCTTTTCCCATGAAGATCTCAGACCTCTGAAGCTTTCTTCCTACTCCTTTCCCCCTCTCATTTTCCCTGAAAACCTAAACTGACTTCTCTGAGGGCAGGCCAGGGATGGGGGTGTGTGCAGGTATGTGCAGGCAGTTTATTTCCCCCCTCAGTCCCACTGGTACGTCCTCAGATGTCACCCATGTCGTCCTTGAACCCACTACTGTTCTTTCTCTAGACTTTTTAGTGTAATTCTGCCCACTGTGTGCTCACCACCCCCAGCCCATGTGAACTTGAGCACCATGCCTGCCGGACATTCCATACATTTCAGACGCCCACAGGGCCAAGAACCTAGCAAGCTGGAAGGACCGTGTCAAGGCAGGGAACAGGGGTGGTGTGGGGGGTAAGTAGGAGAAAGAGTCAGAGGCTCTCCTGCTTCTCAGAGAATACCTTGGAATCCAGAGGGATTGATTTATCTCATGGTATTTCTGACATGAATGATTCAGAAGTGGGTGAAGTTAGACTAACATCTTAAACTGTGCCTTTGATTCCTCCCAGCACTATGGTCCCTCTGTCATCACCTCGCTAGATGAGCAGGATGCCCTTGGCCACTTCTTCCAGTACCGAGGGACCCCTTCCCACTTCCTGAGCCCACTAGCCCCCACACTGGGGAGCTCTCACCGCAGCACCACTCCAGCACCCCCTCCTGGCCGTGTCAGTAGCATTGTAGCCCCTGGAGGTGCCTTGAGGGAGGGGCATGGAGGACCCCTACCCTTGGGTCCCTCTTTGACTGACTGCCGGTCAGACATCATTTCCCTGGACTGAGACCCCTGGATTATGGAACCTTTACTGCCTCCCAACACAACACTAAGCAAATATGCTGTGGAGCCCAGACCCCTGGCCTCTGTGACCTCTCAGGGGGCTTTGGCGAAAGGCCTGAAAGACCTTCAAGGACACCTGTTTTTGGCCTCTTCTCTGTCTGAGAAGGCCAGCACCCAAAGGGTTAATATTTAACCTCTTTTTAGGGACACTGGGATTCTTTTTGGAAATGTTCTTTAGATGGCTGGCACATTCCTTTGGGTATGTTTACCTAGGCAGTGGGAGGCAAATGGGATGGAAAGTGAGTTGGGGGGAGGGCTGGATCCTCAGCCATGACTCCCTAGTGCCTTGTGGGACGAGGTCCTTCTCTTGTACCCCAGATGCCCTCTCTTCCATTCTCCAGACCCACATGTGGCTCTGTTCCATTCCCACATCGATTGTCCATTCCATTCTCTTTGGCCAAACACACAGGTGGAGAAACAGACAGTCAGATACATGGACAGAAAACTATTTCGGGTTCCAGATTTTTTGTACATAAACAAGAAAAACCAAAATACTCCAAAGATGTCTTCCCCTGCTTCCTACTTTCCAGTATGACTGAAGAGAAGATAAGGGTTTTGGGAAGCAGGGCCTGGCCTATTGCCTGGGTTTCTCTCTATTTATATATTTAAGTTCACAGTGTTTCTTATGCCGACCAGCCAAGACCCTGAGCTTCTAAAGGCTCATGGCCCTGTGGTTGGGTCTGGCTTATTCTACACCTTTCCTTGGAGGTGAGAGGACCCTCATACTCCCCCCAGTCTCCTTTATCAGGCTCCTCCACGGCCTGGGACTTATGTTGTAATTTTACTTGTTATTCCCAAAGTTGTACAAAGTTCTTACCCATAATAAAGGTTGTGAATGTTCTGTGAGTGTCATGGAGGTAGGTAGGCTGGGGAGGGGATTATGCACTTTGCTTTCCAGATCCCAGTTTTGGGAGGAGGGGGTCCATGTTCTGTTCTTCTTTTGTGGGTCCTGGGTCCACATGAGCTCCACTTTCACAGAGTAGAGGTGTCACCCTGAGGATTTCCAAGAGCAGTTGTTCTTTCTGCCTTCCTCTCCCCCACGCCCATAAAACACTACAGCATGCAGCCCAATGCTGTGGAGCTCTCAGGTCCTTCACCCTTACCTGCTTAGATGTTGCAGCCAGAGCCTGAGGGCAAATTTAGTCCCAGTGCTGACCCTCTCTTTGTCTTCTGCTATGGTTGGGGTCGTTTGCAGCAGTGTAAACGCAGGCAGGGCCAAAGGTCGAGCTCCTTCATCCTCCTCTAGTTCCACCGCACTGCGTGATAACTGTCTAGGCTTTGTCTAGTGGCTTAGCCCACTTCCATGTCCATCAGGTCATTGAGTCCTCTCAGCCACTGCAGGAGAGGGGTAGGGTGGGTGTCAACCTCATTTTACAGAAAGGAAACATGTTCAAGGAGGGTTAAATGATTTGCCCTTGTGGGAGAGACAGACTCAGATCCAGTCTTCAGTGCTACCCAGTTGGAGCAGGAACTCTTGGAGTTTAATGGGCATTGTTTTTGATCTCATGTGCTGTCTTCGTTATTAGTTAACCAACTCTCTCCCTAAGAGACTCCAGCACAAAATTCCTTCCTGAGGAGGGAATAGAAGCTGAAGTTCTCAATGTGAGTGTTGGTGTGTTACAATGTCAGGGAGAAGTTATTACTTATAGAACAGAAGATGATAGGTTCTGGGGGAGATGTCTGGGTGCCTCTGTTCCATCCTCTGTGGCAGCCACTGTAGCAGCCACATCTGGTCCCAGCCATGTAAAGGCACTCACCTCACTTGGGTTTGGCTGGATCCGAGTCTGGGGCCAGACATGTTGATGGCTTAGTCATGACCTCTCTTGGGAGGCCTGTTTTTTTATCACAGACTACCCACTGGCAGAATGGAGAGGTGAGGTACAGGGGGAGAGTCTATTGGATTTCTTGGTTACCTGTGACTACCCCCACCAACTTAGTAACAGTCAGAAGCAGTCTGCTTGGGTGTCCTGAGCCCCATTTACTTCCTCCACTGCCAACCCTACCTGCAGCTGCTGCTGGGACTCCTGGGAGGCCACAAGTAGATAGAGGATGATGTGGTGGTATTTGGGGAGACCCCAGCTCAGCCTAGGAGGGTAGGCAGACTAAGAAGAAAACAGCGAAAGTGAGAATTTTCTGTCTAAGACTTTGTAAATACAGCTGAGGAAGTGGGGCATAGAAATGGCACAGGAGGGACACAGTAAGGAGTCTCCACTTGGTGTTTGGGGTCTCCAAACCATGCACATTTCATAGTTTCCCCTGTGTTGGAGGTTGGTAGGGCTGTGCGGTGGGTTAGAAGTTGTTGAGGGCTCTTGGTTTAATAGGAAGGGACCTCTTCCAGGTCCTTGTCTCACCTCCCATAACCCCAGTGGGACCCAAGAGAACTGGCCCTGGGGCAGCTGTAGTCCACTCTCTTCCCAAAGTTCTCGAAGTCTTCCCATCCAGCAGCTGGAAGTGAGAGAGTGCAGGTCAGAGAGGTCAGTGCCTGACTCCTCCAAGTCTTTCCTTTGCCCCTCCCCCATTCCACACCCAGGGTGGTCCCAGACAGGTCTCTGGTTCAGGGCAGGTTGCAGGTTTGATCAGCCGATTGATTACCTCTTCATCAAGTTCCACATGACCACCTGCAACACAATGGGACCAATAGGGGAATGGTGGTGTTCTTAGCCAGGGATCAGCATTCACTATTTACACTGCTCCCTCCTCCAGTGGGTACAAATGCAGTTGCAGCCCCTTATGATAATGGGACACACCATATTTCTGCCCCTACTTCCGTCTCGACTGGGAAAGCAGTGTTGGGTGAAGGGCAAGTTTCCTCTCTGCACTTGGGGCACCACCCTCAGGGTGCTCACCTGGGGGTACCCAGAGATTGGGCAAAACGCTGAGGGTCCGTGTCCTTCGGGTCAAGACAGTCAGATCGCTGGACTGCAGAATGACTGCCACACCTAGGTCCACACCACGATTTGTGGGCATCTCGGTTCCCGGAGGTCTGGACTGTTGGTCCACAGCCGCAAAAGGGCAGAAAGGGGGTCGCTGGAGGGAGTGAGCCCTTGGGGTTAATACTTAAGAAGTGGGGCAGGGCTTTCAAAAATTGGGCGACACCCCGCGATGGCGTTAGGAGGTGATAATGCTTCATACGGGAGTCAGAGCGATGGCTCGGGCCCCAGGTCTCTTGCCGCTAGCTCCCGCCCGACTCCAGGCTCCACCTTCGGCCCTGCCCTCCTGGTGGGTATGGCCCTCCCCCAATCCTCGCGCTGGGACACCCTCCCCCATCTTTCCACAACCTGGAGCGCAAGTGTGATCGAAGCTCCGGGAAATGGCCTGTCCGAGAGGACGAGTCCTCCTGGCCTCAAGCTGCAGTGCGTGGGCCACGGCCCGAGCCCTGGGCCGGCGCAGGAGGCCACACATACTCTGCGCGAAGTTCACCGGCTCGGGGCGCCCGGCCAGGTATAGCAGCAATCACGCCGCGGCCATCACGCGACTCTGGGGCGCTGCGGCCTGCCGGGCGCCCTCTGCTGGCCCAGAGGTGCCTCCCCGCGGAGTCGGAGGGAAGCTAGGCTTCCGGGGAAATTCAGGCCTAACACTTGGGGACGAGACCGGAAACATTTTTGGCACCTACCCTTCTCACTCAGATGGCAACCAAATACAGCAGATTCTACCTCCTTAAAACTTTCTCAAATCCATGTCTTACTCTCCAAGCTCCATTGCCCTAATACAAGCCTTCCTCATATTCTGCCTGAGATACTGCAAGTCTAAATAGTCCTGCCCCCACCAGTTTATTCTCTACATTGCTGCCAGAGAGCATTCTCAAACACAAGTCTAATCACTTTCCCACTGCTTCTCAGGATAAGCTAAGCTACTTAACCACAGTATAGTAAGGACCTACCTGTCCTTGCCCCTACCTCTCTCTCCAGCCTGAATTCTGGCAGGACATATGCCCTATTTTCGTCACACCCTATTTGCTGATCTCCCAAGAACCAGGCTTTGCGTCTCTCTGGGATCTTTCCCCCACCTTCCACCCAGTAAATATTCATCTATCAAAACAGTATCACTTTCTCTGTACTCTCTTCCTTACCTGGCCCTTTTCCGTGTCGCCTCACTCTACTCTTCCCCTATAGTCCCCCAATACTTCCTTGTACTTATTTGTCTTCTCCCATTAGGCTGTAGGCATAAGGCTTTTTTGTATTCCTAAGGCTGGGCCCAGTACTGGGCATGTAACAGGTGCTCAGCAAATGATTTCTAAGACTTTGTAAATACAGCTGAGGAAGTGGGGCATAGAAATGGCACAGGAGGGACACAGTAAGGAGTCTCCACTTGGTGTTTGGGGTCTCCAAACCATGCACATTTCATAGTTTCCCCTGTGTTGGAGGTTGGTAGGGCTGTGCGGTGGGTTAGAAGTTGTTGAGGGCTCTTGGTTTAATAGGAAGGGACCTCTTCCAGGTCCTTGTCTCACCTCCCATAACCCCAGTGGGACCCAAGAGAACTGGCCCTGGGGCAGCTGTAGTCCACTCTCTTCCCAAAGTTCTCGAAGTCTTCCCATCCAGCAGCTGGAAGTGAGAGAGTGCAGGTCAGAGAGGTCAGTGCCTGACTCCTCCAAGTCTTTCCTTTGCCCCTCCCCCATTCCACACCCAGGGTGGTCCCAGACAGGTCTCTGGTTCAGGGCAGGTTGCAGGTTTGATCAGCCGATTGATTACCTCTTCATCAAGTTCCACATGACCACCTGCAACACAATGGGACCAATAGGGGAATGGTGGTGTTCTTAGCCAGGGATCAGCATTCACTATTTACACTGCTCCCTCCTCCAGTGGGTACAAATGCAGTTGCAGCCCCTTATGATAATGGGACACACCATATTTCTGCCCCTACTTCCGTCTCGACTGGGAAAGCAGTGTTGGGTGAAGGGCAAGTTTCCTCTCTGCACTTGGGGCACCACCCTCAGGGTGCTCACCTGGGGGTACCCAGAGATTGGGCAAAACGCTGAGGGTCCGTGTCCTTCGGGTCAAGACAGTCAGATCGCTGGACTGCAGAATGACTGCCACACCTAGGTCCACACCACGATTTGTGGGCATCTCGGTTCCCGGAGGTCTGGACTGTTGGTCCACAGCCGCAAAAGGGCAGAAAGGGGGTCGCTGGAGGGAGTGAGCCCTTGGGGTTAATACTTAAGAAGTGGGGCAGGGCTTTCAAAAATTGGGCGACACCCCGCGATGGCGTTAGGAGGTGATAATGCTTCATACGGGAGTCAGAGCGATGGCTCGGGCCCCAGGTCTCTTGCCGCTAGCTCCCGCCCGACTCCAGGCTCCACCTTCGGCCCTGCCCTCCTGGTGGGTATGGCCCTCCCCCAATCCTCGCGCTGGGACACCCTCCCCCATCTTTCCACAACCTGGAGCGCAAGTGTGATCGAAGCTCCGGGAAATGGCCTGTCCGAGAGGACGAGTCCTCCTGGCCTCAAGCTGCAGTGCGTGGGCCACGGCCCGAGCCCTGGGCCGGCGCAGGAGGCCACACATACTCTGCGCGAAGTTCACCGGCTCGGGGCGCCCGGCCAGGTATAGCAGCAATCACGCCGCGGCCATCACGCGACTCTGGGGCGCTGCGGCCTGCCGGGCGCCCTCTGCTGGCCCAGAGGTGCCTCCCCGCGGAGTCGGAGGGAAGCTAGGCTTCCGGGGAAATTCAGGCCTAACACTTGGGGACGAGACCGGAAACATTTTTGGCACCTACCCTTCTCACTCAGATGGCAACCAAATACAGCAGATTCTACCTCCTTAAAACTTTCTCAAATCCATGTCTTACTCTCCAAGCTCCATTGCCCTAATACAAGCCTTCCTCATATTCTGCCTGAGATACTGCAAGTCTAAATAGTCCTGCCCCCACCAGTTTATTCTCTACATTGCTGCCAGAGAGCATTCTCAAACACAAGTCTAATCACTTTCCCACTGCTTCTCAGGATAAGCTAAGCTACTTAACCACAGTATAGTAAGGACCTACCTGTCCTTGCCCCTACCTCTCTCTCCAGCCTGAATTCTGGCAGGACATATGCCCTATTTTCGTCACACCCTATTTGCTGATCTCCCAAGAACCAGGCTTTGCGTCTCTCTGGGATCTTTCCCCCACCTTCCACCCAGTAAATATTCATCTATCAAAACAGTATCACTTTCTCTGTACTCTCTTCCTTACCTGGCCCTTTTCCGTGTCGCCTCACTCTACTCTTCCCCTATAGTCCCCCAATACTTCCTTGTACTTATTTGTCTTCTCCCATTAGGCTGTAGGCATAAGGCTTTTTTGTATTCCTAAGGCTGGGCCCAGTACTGGGCATGTAACAGGTGCTCAGCAAATGATGGAGAGTGGCTTAAAAGCGGAAATGGTTATATCTTTGTATATTATATCTAGTATAATGGCTGGCAATTAATTGGCATTCAAATGAGTTAGAGAGAATTAACACTGGTAGGAGGAAATTGAAGAAATGATAAAACAAAACCTAACTGCTTTAAATGAACTGAAGTTGCTGGGACAAATTACATCAGTTATATTAATCACCTATTCATGGTACTGAGAGTGAGAACTTAAGGATTGCTGTTTAAGAAACCAAGAAAGAGGAGGGCAATGATTTTATTGCTTACCATCTGCCAGGCTTTGTGCTAAGTTTTACATGCATAATTTCAAATGTGCTAGAAGCCTGAAGCTATTAAAATATGGTTTCTATCGATAGGATCTAGTGTGGCTGCTAGGGTCAGTCTACCTGCTACTTCCGCAAATAGCTATTATTGCCAGCTCTGTGGTAGTCTTTTATATTCCTTACACTGTGTGTGTTTAAGATTACTGCTTAACAAAATACAGAACAGGTCTAGCCACTTGAAAATGGAACGAACTGCTTAGGATGAAGTTTCAACTGCCAGGGATGTTTAGACACAGGGTTGGCACTCCCACTTCTTGGTGGGAACTGATGCATCTGATAGATGATTAATCTAGTTGATTTAAGGTTCTTTCCTGGATCTAGTTGACTTAAGTTTCTTTCCCTTGCCAAGATTTGATGAGGGGAGAATATGATGGGTCTAGGACAGGCTTAGCAAATTTAAAAATATGTCAAACTCTTTCTGGTATGTTCTGAGCAGTTAGGGATGGGGGTTTCAGTACAAGAATCTGCAACTTATCTCACTGCAAGGAATATATGTAGGCATTTCCTTTATTTTTCTTTACAATCCCCCCAGATCTTTTGAGGAAGACTCTTATGTTGGGTCATTGTCTCTTCATGGTGCTCTCAATGTATGACTCCAGCAGGAAGATGGTTTCATCTACCTGGATCTCACTGGCATCCAACCTGAATGAAAAAGTGAAAGTATTTGTTCAAACTGAATGTTCAGACTGAACATTCATCAGCATATTTAAGATTAGAGGCTGGGCTGGGTGTGGCCATGGAGAATTGCTTGGTTACCTTTGAGAGTAATGGGTGGACTGCAGGGAACCAATAGATCATTCTCCCACTTACTGAGCATCTTTTATGTGCCAGCCACCATGGAAATTGCTGAGGATCAAAAGATATAGCCTCTGTTCTAGGAGAGGTTACAGTCTTAACTTGCAAGCAGGGGAAAGAATGGCACATGTTAAAGACACAAGTGTAAAAGGACCTAGTGTGCTTTTAAAATAGAAGCTGAAAGGCTAAGGCTTAAAGTGAGTAGTGATTAAGACTAGGAGGAAACTTCCTCAACCTGATATTACACCATCTATGAAAAACTCAGAGCTTACATCATACTTAATGGTGAAAGACTGAAACTTTCCCCCTATGATTAGGGACAACACAGGGGCATTTGCTTCTCACTTCTATTCAACCTCATAGTGGAGGTGTTAACCAGGGAAGCTAGGCAAGAAAAAGAAAGAAAAGGCATCCAGACTGGAAAGGAAGAAGAAAAGCTATTTTTGTTCACACATGACATGATCCTACCTACAGGAAATCTCAAAGGATCCACACAAAACCTAATAGAGCTAATAAATCAATTTAGCAAAGTTGCAGGATATGAATTCAAAACACCGAAATCGATTTTATTTCTATACACTAGCAAAGAACAATAAACGAAATTAAGAAAACATTAAAATAGTGTCAAAAGAGAATAAAATACTTAGGAATAAATTTAACAAAATAAGTGCAAGACTCAAATACTGAAAATGACAACATTGTTCAAAGAAATTAAAGAAGATCTAAATAAATGGAAAGACTTCCCATGTTCATATGCTGGAAGATTTAATAAAGATGGCGGTGCTCCCCAAAGTGATCTAGATTCAAAGCAAACTCTATTGAGCTCAATGATGAGGAGTGAAAGCAAATGAAGATGGAGATAATGCAGCTATGAGACTGAAAGGCCAAGGAGTTTAGCCTTTATGCTGCAAATATAAGGAGCTAATAAAACATTTAAAATAGAGTGATTCAGAGTAGGAGAGAGTGGAGAGCCTTATAAGAGATGGATTGGGGTGGAGGTGGGGGTGGGGAGGCCATGGGGGGTTGGGAGGGTTGGGTGATTGCAAAAGTCTAGGCATGAGGTGGTGAAGGCCTGCAAGAGGACCAAAATTAAAGACCAGGTTGGAGACATACGACTGAAGTAAAATCAATAGCCTTGGTGAACAACAGGGTGTGTGTGGTCAATGAAGAAGAAGCTGAGGATGTCTTTAGATTTTTTAGCTTAGGAAAACAGTTGGATTAAAAATTCTGTTAACTGAGCTAGGGAAGAATATAGTGAATTTATGTTTGCTCATGTTAAGTTAGAGCAGTAACAGGATATCGACGCAGATTTGTCTGGAAGGTGTTTGAAACTGGTTTTAAGTGTATGATGCTTACTTATTAACATTACGTTTCAGGGTCTCTAGCTGTTGGCGTTCAGGGGCTGTGATCATCTCCTCTATTTCTTGTAGCTGTGCCTCCTCTGCACCTGTAGCCTGCATAGATGCAATGATGGCTTCTACCCTCTGAGACTTCTCTAGTAGACGTCTGTCAGACAAACACAACTCTCAGGCAAGTCCCCTAGCCTTGGGATTTTTTTTACCCTTTAGACCTGGGGCATAACTCCCCCAACCCCCTTACCATGTTCCTGGTAAAAGTGGATAGTGTGTGTCACTCTCTAAGGATATTTTCTACAAACTTATAATTAGAAACGTAACTCCATTCCCCAAATTCTTACTGCCTCCCATTTGCATTTAAAATTTAGTGCCAAATTATACATTTCTAATACATTTAATCTGCAGAATTATTCCACTGGGGGTATAGAGAAAAGTTTAATGTGTGATTTATGCCAACCTAAGCTAATAATTCAATACAACTATACTGGTTATAGTTCCATCGGTTTTCATTTTTACAGGAAATTTTCCCTCAAACATTTGACCTTGAAAAATGTAATTACTCAAATGAATTGAGTAATGCTACTCACTTGTTCTCTTTGGTTTCAAATTGCCTCCTTTCTATCAAGTTGGCTATGCTCTGAGGGGAGAGAAGACAGATGCACACTGTTCCATTTAAGTAGTTGAGGTAAAATGGCTGAAAAGGGCATGAGAGTGAGTCTGTGGAGGGAATGGGGAGAAGGTCCTGCAGGAGTTACCTTGTAGCACCTGTGTAGCAACATTCGTGCAGCTGACATGATGTTCACAGTATATAAATAAAAGGTCCTGGATGGAGCATGGTCTGGTGTTTTGGGAATTTCCTATTTGTCCACAAAAAGAAAAATAAGAGAAATTATTATGTTCTTCAGAACTGGGCAAAGTAAATCCCAGTTCCATCTGGAGCTATGCAGTCCTCTCTTTCATTTATACCTTCCTCTTCCTCAGTCATTCAGCATCTGTGTTTATGGTATAATCAGCCACATGGAGAGTTGGGCTGCCCTGTTTTATGCATTTGCCAGTCAGTCTTCTGAGTGGGGAAGAAAGAGAAGGCAACTAACATTTACTAAGCAATTCTTACAAGCCAGGGAGACTGTATTTGATCTTTACAACAAACCGTATTACTTTTAACATCATCCATTACCATTTTATAGAAGGGAAAAATTACAGTAGGTAATTTTGCTCAATATAACTGGGTAAGAGGCAGAGCTATGATTCTGACTCCAAAATTCATTCTCTTTCCTCATAGGATATATCACATGGTTCTGCATATAGTGAGGATCCAATATTTGCTATTGATAAACTGAATCTATAATAAGCTTACGGCTCGAAAGGAGGACACGTCAGAGGGACTAGAAACCAAGAAATATAAAGATAGGGTGTTTCTGGGGTGATTTCTTGGCTGTGCCACTATTTTACTAGACCAGTGAAAGCTCCAGTTATCTTTCAAGTGCTTGCTATGTCTCTTGATCTGTCTCAGAGCTGGACAGTTTGCTTGAGATGTTTGCCTCAGGAGTTTCTCTCACCCTAGGCCAGCTCTGCAGCTTGGCGATTATTACACTAATGATTACCTGGAGTGATATGAAATTTTCTGAGAGCATCTTATAAAGCATATCCTTTGCCTCCTTTGCTGGAATCATTGCAAAGTCTTCTACCTGCTTCTGCTCCAGATGTCTCTTTTGCAAAACTAGACGGAATATTCTGGCACAGCGAGACCCAAATCTGGAATGAAGAAAGCCAATGGCACACCAATATAGATAAGATTTGACTCCTAGTCACAGATGGTGGCTAGACAAGAACAATGATGGGAGAATTCTTTTACAACTCCAGAGACTGATGATCACAAGGCACTGCTAATCACAAGGCAGTCAGCAAGTGCTGACCCACTTGAATGCCTCAGTTCCTGCATTTGTGAGTAAAATCTTTAGGAAGGCTGGTTAATTGGAATCACAAGG